CACACTGAATTCTTCACTCCAACATCATCCAATTCTCTGAAGAATATCTTTCCTTAGGACTTTGTGCCATAAGAAGATAGTTGACTTGTCTAAATATTATTAAATTAGATAAATAAGTAAACATCAAATATCTATTAATGCAAATTATAGTTACAGAGGAGAGGAATATAATTCCTTTCTGATTCAGCTAGGAATCTATGTATCACTTAACCTGTTGAATATGGCTTATCTTCAATTGCATCTATCCCAATTCATGCTCTTGTTCTATTTCCATCCCAAGTTCCCTACATCAACTGCTTTTGTATCTCAAGTGATAACAACCCTGTCACATTTTAGTTTTGGTCTGAATCCTTAGCACTCCACTGCTTCTTTCTTTTTCTTTTACTTCACATGGCTCAGTTAAGAGGACTGCTGACTCACTCAGTAAAAAGATACAGGAGTCTGGCTTTTTCCTTGATTTAAACTAGCATATGAAGTAGCCACAAACTACTAAACTTGATTTTACCTTATCCTTTTACTGTTTTGCTTCCACAGGGATCATTGCCTTCTCATATAAAAAATAGCTTTTTCAGTCATATTTCTCATTTAATGACTATTTCCTCTAATAATGTTAGGGCAGGAAATGTTCTCTATATGTGAATCTAATTCATTATCTATTTTATGATACATGCATACATTTGTTAAGCCAAACATTTATTTACTCCTTAAATATTTCCTGAATATATTTAAATACATACTCAAATATGCTTAAATATTCATATATATAATGAATGCATAAAATATATACACAAATATATATTTAAATATTCATGTAAATATAATTTTATATATACATATATTTACACACAAGTTTATAAATGTATACAACATTGTATGTGTATTATTTGTACACAAATTTATTGTTGATGGAATAATTGTTAATATATATTTATTCCCTCAAAACTCCATTCTACAGAAAAAATCATGGCAAGTTGGACCTAACATATTTTAAATTTTACATCAATAATTTGACTTTAGTCTGTAGAAAAGTAACAAATCAGATAGACTTTGGAAAGATTGTAGGAAAAATAAAAGAAAGCTGATTTTCTGTCCCTTATGGACACATCCACAAAAAAGCAGGATGTTGTTTGCATCATTTAGGAGAAAAATGACAAACATAACTCTTTTGAAAAATATTTCTTTGATATATACTGTGTGTATGCAATTGTACAAGTTTCAGTGAATATTCCCGTATACAAAATTTGAATGACATGGCTTTATATTTAAGGGTTTAGTAAATAGTAGAATTTTATTTAACATAAAATAGTTATAAAATGCAAGTTATAACAGGATTATCATCATAACAAGAGCATACTTAGAGTGTTTTATGCACTTAAATGCAAAAAAGCTACATATGGAGCTTTAAAAATTTTGTTTAGTGTCATCAAAATGTAAAGAAATGAAGGAATATTTTAATTGGAAGTTTTCATTCCCTCTTTGAGTTGAAATATCTACATAAGTTTATTAAACTTTCACATAGCAATTAAAGGCATTTTGAAAGCATTATCTTTTTAAGTCTCAGAATCATTATAACTTGAAATATAGGAAGCTAAGTTTTTATGACAAGAAGGATTACAAGATTTTTCTTTTTATTGCACATTTTAATGGGGCTATCTTAGCAAAATCTTTGAAGCCAGAGGCTAATTAACTAGATACCAAAAGGGCCACCCATATGAAAAGCATTTTAAATACTCAGGGAATTAAGATCATTTGTGTTTTTGATAAATGCAGGAATAGTCAGTTGATCCCTAAATTATGCAATGAAGATTAAAAATTCATTTAATAAAAAGCAATGACTTGCAATATTTACCTTTAAGTGTGAAAAATACTGTGAAAATGTACTTGTATTTTTAAAATATAGAGTAAGTTTTTAGCTTGAGCTTCAAGTTAACCTGTGTAGCAATTTCTGAGTCTAAATTTTATTCATTTGTTCCTTTATATAACTCTTTATAAAAGGAAAAGGAGTATACATTCCTAAGATACTAAGTTTTTTTTCCTGAGAATGGAATATTTCATATAGGTCTTAAATAAAAATATTTGGAAAGTCATTCCCTGCTGTTATGTAATATAACCTGTTATCCTAGATTTTATTTTTCTTTTATTTTTATTGTTTTCCACCAACTACCTTCACAAAATGTCTGGCCTTACTGCCTATATTAAATTTAAAATTCTGTTTACATTTTTCTGCATATGAATATATATGCAGGTCTTACATATAGAAGGATAAGATAATTTATCATTGCATCCACATCATTTATAAACATCCAAAAGTATGTTAGTACATTGACTCTCAAAGGAAAACAATAAGCTTTGATATGTAGTGTTGGTTAATTTCACTCTTGTAAATATACCACAATTTATTATACCGAGATACCTGACCAACTACTAAAATTTTGAATTTTTAACTATTTTCCCTTTTTAGTAAGGACTGACTCAGCCATCTTGGTTTGGAATATCTTTAGTGACCTGCAGTTAATGGACAGCTCAAATTGTACAAAGTATTTCCCTTGTCTACTTTTGCTTAGGTTGAACACAATTATTTTTTTTTTTTTACGAGTATTCTTCACACCCCATGGTTTTCATAGCATTTAACAACTGATTATATTCCTGGGCTTATACAATAATTAATAATATGTGGGGGCCAGAAATTAACATCCCCCTGCAGATATGGTTGGGGCAGACCAAAGTGCTGGAGAATTATTATCTTAGTTTCCTTGGCCATTATAATTTGCTAATGTAGTTTGAGGATTCCTTAGATATTTTTGGCCGCCACATCACACAGTTGGCTTGTATGAAATTATGAAGCCCGCCTTATCCACGCAGTTATGTCTTTAAAACTTAAAATGCAGTTGAGCCTGTTTTCTACCTTTCTGTACTTGTCCAACTAATTTCTAACTGTAAGCATACAAATTTAATATGAATATATTTCATCTTATTAATTAGACTTTTCATTTGAAAAAGCGATAAACAAACAACAAAACACAAAGGAAGGTGAGTGGATGGACAGCTGGTGGTCAACTTGTAACATCCAGCTGAACTGAATCAGTGTGGTGCTGGGTGTGGAGAGCCTTTCTGAAGATCATAAAACAACACCAAAGAAGAACTGGAGGGGAAGAAGTTGGGGTGTCGGTTCTCCAGGAGGGACTTGTCTTTTTGTTTGTTTTGTTTTGTTTCAAATAGAAAAAAGAAAAAGAAAAAAAAAAAAAACCCAGAAAACTCAAGAAGCAAAAAAACCTAAAAAACAATGACAACAATAACAACAAAAAACAATAGCTATATAGGTTTTCAAAATATGATAGGAATTAAGCAATGGTTGTTATACTGCATATTGTTATCTTCAAAATACTTGCTCAGGTTACCAGATAGAAGAATAAAACAAAACAGCAAAATGGAATAAAACAGTAGATTTCAAAAACAAGACTGAAAGAAATCCCCCACAATTGCCACAATGCACACTGTCATCCTCCAAATAGATGCCAAGACTCCAGCTCCAGACCTGCAAAGTCAATCAAATAACACAGGCATCGAATGATTCCTCTCACCTCAGTTGCTATTATGTCACCCTGAGTCTTCTGAATCAGCCAGTTGCTTACCGTGTGTTGGGGGCTGGGGTGGGAATGTTCTAGTGGTTTCCCAGCCTGCACAGCAGCTGGCTCTTGGGAAAGAATGGTTTGTCTTCTTTCTGAGTCTCTTCCCGATCCTCATGGTGGAGGCTGGCTCACAGAAAGGCATGGCTTGTTGAGTATCTTTCCTGATATGACCTCGGATGTTCTCACTGTCAGAGGCATTCAGGACTTTGTTGTCACTGAGGTGGCTGTAGTAGTTTTTGGAGGACCTCTGGTTCTTAATTTAGTAGCTGTTTCTTGGCTATCCACTGTCACAGATGCTTCGTCCTGCAGGCACAGACATTCTTGCTTCTACCATTGATGATTGGGCCTTTCTGGCACATATGCATGAAACAAACTTGCATGAGACATTGTCATTAGCTCTAGATCTTCACCTGACTCATGCAGGACACTGCCATGGGATCCAGGCCCTCAGATAGATCCTTTGGGGTCTTTAACATGTGAACATATTTCCCGCACTTTTTGTGTTCGACTTTTGGGTGACTATTATAAAATAATTCTAAAAATTTTGTGTCCTTTATTAAATTGTTTTCCTTGCAAACCCTGAGTACAACAGAAGGTATAGTCCATCAACTCATTTCATCATTATTTTGGTGATGTTTGCAGATACAAAAGTATATCTTTTAACATTCTATGCAAAAAGCAATCTTAATAGTGAGGAGAACTGGAAAAAATTGAGAAATGTTCTATGGAGACAAGCATGTGACACAGAGCCTAAATTTTAGTTCTTTTCATTTTTTCATGAAATGTTTTCCTCTCAGACATTTATCACTTTGAAATGATAAACTATGGCTTGAAGAATACTTTATCTTTTAACACCATCTGCATAGACTCAATTTCAAATGCCTCTTTTTTTCTATAAAATGCATTTTTCAATCAGATCAAGAGGTGACAACTCCACTTGCACAATCCAACTTTCTTGCCCCAAATTCTTCAGACTTCAACCAAACACTTCAAAGTCACTAGAGATCTAATTCAGATTCTCTCCTAATCTGTCACATTTTATCATGGGTCAGGAATGAAAGAAGCCACTTAACTATTTATAAGTTTTGGCAGATTCCTTTTTCATCTCTGATAAGAATTTCTTGGAGGATAGCACCTTCTCATTAGCTGTGCAGTGTTCATTCAAGCAGGTCAATACTTCAAGGGAAAATCAGTATTGCTAACTATATTTCACTTTTCCTGGAAATAAGACTGATTTGTACCTGGCTGCACATTTTATTATGCATACATTAATATAATTATATATTATTAGCCTACTTGCCATATACTTAGGATATTGATGATCTGATTTTTTTTTTCATTCCTTAAAATCAAGCTCTGTTTTAAAGATTTTTGTGTCTTTTGATTTTTAATCCCTGCCCCGGCAAGGGGCGCAGGGCCCAGTGTTCCTGTGGCAGCCTCCTGGGCTGGTGCTTGCCATGCGAGGCGGGCCCCGATTTTGACACAGCTGCAGAGATTTTGTGTCTTTTAAAGAACTGAAATGGCTTAGTTTTTGTTGTATTTACATAAATGTCTTGGATAATGTTATTATGCAATATGTTAGAAAAACCTCCCTGAAAATATTACTTTTTCAAAATAAAACAAAATTCCCACTATTGTCAAATGAATCAGGCATCAGAGAAGATAATTCCGTGTTTGCTTTTTATATTTTAACTCATATTCTCATGACCCCTCTCTCCATTTGCTTCTTGCTTTTCTTGTTTCTACTTGTGATGCTTCTTTCTCTCCTTCAAAAAAGGAGAAAAAATCTATCCCAGTTGCTCATATCAAACTCCAAACAAGCTTCTATAATGCTATTCTTATTCATCATACCTGATTGTCATCAGTGTTTTCTGGTTAATTCTCTTAAGCATGAACATTTTCAATATGAAGCATGAAATAAATAAAACTTATTAATATGTTCTTAAAGTGTTACTGTTCATTGTTTTTATGCTTCCTTGATTACATAATAACGTCTCATCCGGCATTGACTATGCTAGTCTCATGTAACTCCTTGAGCAGATCCCTTCTAGGGCATCTGGCTTAAAACAGGACTCAATAGGAGAAGATATGAAAAGTTAGCTATTCTCCATACCCCCAGGATTATCAGCAGTCATGCTCTAGGACGCTCTGTTGGTTTCCAGAAGCTACTGTGGCATTTCTCATCTAGTGTGAGTCTTCTGATGAGTTACATTTCTACTCTTCAAGAGAAAATTTCTTCTTCAAAGTGTCAGTCTCAACTTAATACTGCTTTCTTGAGTGTATGTGCTCAAAGTTCCTTTTATAAACCCCATTACCCTGCTTCTGCCTTCTGAAGCCTTAACTTTTTTAACTGCTTCACTGATTGTTACTGATATACAAATAAACAAAACCTGCTGAGGTCAAGTGTATATTAATATATGAGATGGGGCATATGCATATCACAACATATCAGTTACCTCAGTGTGTCTTGTGTCTCTTTTGTTTGTCTGATGTGGTAAGAATACTTAATCCAGGGCATGGAAATTTAGCTCAGCGACACAAATGCCTGCCTGGTAAGATCATGGTTGTGAATTTGATCCCCATATTAAAAAAAAAAAAAAAACATAAAAAACAAATTGACTTGAGATCTATTTCTAATACATACAAATAATACAAATATTTATTTTCACCATTCTGTAAGATATCACGTCACTCTGCTGATTGTGTTGTTTGCTACACTGAAAATTTAGTTTCTATTTTTATTTTGCCACTCATGGTTTTGGTGTCTGATTCCAAATAAAACAATACAACACAATAACAAAACACAGCAGAGATTAACGTCAAAAAGCTTTCAATACATTTTCCCCAGAAGTTTCGGGTCTTACACTTAGATTTTGTATCCATCGGTTCTCACTAGAGGATATTCGGCTTTATAAGGTAGGTTTACAATGGCTACCTTCAGAGTCAGTCATGAAGACTATAAAGACTGCCTGGTTGATAGAAATATGAATGATCCAATCAAGTCAAAGACCTCCAGCTCACTCCAGCCCAGTGCAAGTCTGAATCAGGAAGCTGAAGGGTCAGTGCTGCAAAGTTGAACATTCTGCAGTGGAAGCCATGAGACCAGTATTCAAAATCAAGTCAAAGAGTGGAGCTTTTTTCAAGAACAAAAGTCAGGCTCCTTTTTCCATTGATCTTTTTACTCCACTCAGGCTACCAACCTATTATTGATTGGTACCACTCACATCCGGGGTGAAGAAGCATAGCTATATAATGTTCTTACTGTGTTTTCAAAATGGTGAAACATAAAGTTGACACAATCATTTGCTTTGTATCAAGTGATCCACATTTTATCTTTGCAGTCATGACCTTAAAAATTTGTCAGAAATATTTCTTTGAAATTAATAGACTATATATCTTAAATATATATATATATATATATATATATATATATATATTATTTATCTTAAATGAAGTAAAAACAATATATATTTTCAATATTTTCAATATTTTCAATATTTTCAATTTATTGTATATATATATATACAATAAAATTGAAAATCACTTGAGGTAATTCTGAATTCATAGTCTACTTTCTGCATTTCCTATTAAGTTGAATTCTGTGCCATACTGGAAGGCAGTGTGGAAATCACCTGCTGTCGTGCTGTAAATACTTGCAAAATTCCTTTCATTCCCTAGGGCACTGTGCTGACTTTCTACAGAATTCTGACTATCAATGTTTTTGATACTGGTGAGTCCCTTAACTGCAAATTAATTTGAAAGAACACTTTAAAGAAAGAACGGAATCTCATTACATAATTATTTCAAAAATGATCTAATTAATCTTCCATAAGTGAATGACAGGCATATTAACATTAGTAGATTCCATTCTGCATTCTATTTGTAAATTTGTACTTTCACTCTTTCTTACTTGATTTGGAGCTCTTTTACTTAAAATTCTTGACTTATTTACATATTTTAGTACTGATAGAAATTAATGTACTGACTTATTCATTAGAGAGGGTACATAAAAATGTGTGTTGAGTCAAACTGAATTTGATTACATTTAATGACAGTATAGTTGATTTGAAGGGAAAAGGAAAATTATTTATTTTGTTTTGTAAATTTTACACTGCAGTATGTTGAAGAGGTGTAAATGTGCTAATGTATACTCTAATCAGCATTAATCTTCACAAAAATTCCTCACTAAAATTTCACCCTTCTGGTAAAAATGGCAGCCCTAAATCACTTTCAAGAAATATTCACATATAAATCAAGTGATCAGAAATATTCAGCACCTGCTGCCTTTAGGCAAACTCTGATAAAAGTTTTCTATGTTTAGAAGAACTGTGTATCTGTATAGCTGAGGTGTAAAATCATTTTCTTTGGCAAGATTGTCCCACTTTATCTTCTTGATGTACAGATATCTGTCTGAAACAAGTCACTTACTCACTGTTCACTGGCTCTGTGACAAGTTGTTATCCTTTCCTATCATTGAGCTTATTCTACCTAAATCTTCCTTCTGACCTAGAAAATCTAGTATAATTTTCAAAATGGCAAAAATCATTGCTGTTATATGATAAACATGGGTTGAATATTTTATTTTGTACCTTAATTAATAAGAACTCAAGATATTATTAGACAGATGGAGAAAGAGAGAGAGAGAGAGAGAGAGAGACAGACAGACAGAGAGAGAGAGAGAGAGAGAGAGAGAGAGAGAGAGAGAATTTGCCCATTAGTACATCAAAACTGTGAACAATAATTTGTTATCAGATAAGCTGCTTAATATTCAGTATAGCAATAATATTTGTCCTCATCTTCAGGGTAAAATCGGTCTTATTTTTCATTCTGAGACATTGTAATCACTCTCAGTAACCCTGTCAGTTTTTGTATATTATTTTCTAATTTTACAGAAATGTAAAATAGTCTAAATGCAGAAAGTCAATGAAAGTTATGAACTTTTATGGAATAATATAACGGCAAAGGGTCTAAGAACAAGGCCTCCAGTTCTTTGATAATTTTGAAATTTCCAAGGGTGGAACATTATTTTCTTGGCAGGGTGTCTAATTTAGGAATGTGATCCTGTCAAATAATTCTTTTCAAGATTAAGCTGAGCTAATTTTTTCTTATAAAAAGCAAAGGATTTTCAACAATGAGATTGATTTTTAAGGTGTAAACTTTTGATGTACAACACACTTATTTAAAATATAGGTAGTCGGGCATGGTGGCACATGCCTGTTACCCCAGCACAGAGAAAGCTGAGGCAGAAGAATCATCATCCTGGGATGCATAGTGAAACCCTGTCTCAAAAAAATAAAGAAAGAAACAATTCAAGCTATAGATAGGTACAAGAATCACCTAACTTAGGACAAAACCAAGGAATCTCTCAACCTTTGTCTTTTCTGAGTTCAATATGATCTAAAACTGTACTTTGCTTTCTCCATGTCTCTAGCAACTAAGAATTCACGAGCTAGCTGAAATTTCTTGACCATTCCTGAATTAAATTCAGAATTACTTCTAGGTTACAAAACCAGAAGCTAATTTATTTCTTCTTTGTTTTTCACATCTGGAAATCTGTTTAATTTGTAACTGTCATTTTAAATTTGTTGGCTGACATATGTTGGGAAGAGTGAACATGAGAGAGTACTCAAACACATTTTCTCAGGCAGGATATTTCAACTGACCCTTTGTTGCAAGATGAAAACCAGGATCGTTTCCACAAAACTGGAGTGGTGGTAATATGGGCAGATTGCTTTAGATTCAGATGTTAGCCAAATACAGAAAATGATAGAGCATGTTTACACTTCAAATCAGAGAAAAGATGAATTTCTAAATGCCAGCTTGTAGGAATGTAATTTGAATGTTATGAATGTATTATTTTATACACCAAATATATCCTAGATATGGTGACCTAAATAACGACTTTCCATTATTAGTTAACTGAAGTTAACTTTTTATTTTAAAGATAGTATAATACAGCAAAATAAGACAGAACAAAGCTTATCACAACAATGCAGCAAAATTAGTACAGGACTTTAAAGTAGGATACTAGGAAAACAATAATAGTTCTTGTGATCTTCAAATAGTTGTCCATTGCATCAGTTATGACAAAACCAAACCAAAAACAAAACACTATAAAACCAATCAAAACAGAGTATTGAATAAAGCAAAACAATCAGAACAAATCAAAACAGTGACAATATTTGACTTCAAAGACACGGTAAAAGAAATCCCCAATATTTGTTGCTTTCAAAATATAAAAAACTGGGTTGGGGATATAGCTCAGTGGTGCAATGCCTGCCTGGAAAGAGTGAAGTCATGAGTCCAATTCCTGGTACAAAAAATGTATATATATATATATATATATATATATATATATATATATATGAACATATCATACTCTGTTTACTTAAGTAACATGATGTCACAATTCTGTTATACCAGTGGTGTCAAAACTGGACTAAAAACAGGAAAGTTGAATGCAAGGGCTCTAATTAGATAGTTATCTTACT